CCTCCGATATATCGACAAATCCTATGTATCGTGTTATCCATTATGCGAATTCCGTCTTCATTTCTTTCGAAACGAACGATATCTCTTTATTTCTTCAGCGACGCTGCGCATATCGTCGTATTCTACGGCGTATGCCGCGCGCTATTATAAATTTCTCTTCCGCGTTACTCTCGTACGTACTAAAAATATTCCAAGCTGAACCATACACACACACACACACACACACGCGCGCGCGCGCGCCATACGTGTAGAGTTGTGCAACGCGTCAGGATTTGGCCGACATATTGCGACCATGCCGCCCTGGCATTATGCGTGCGTACAGGACGACGTGAAGAAATCCCCTGCAAACGAGGATATTTCCTGACATCTTGTTAAACAGCAAAGACATCTCCCGCGCTCCTCCATCGGTGTTTATCCGGCGCGATTGAATAAGCGCCGTTCCCGCGATGCCGCGAGAGCGGGAGACGCGATAAGGGAGAAAATATCGGATGCGGAAAAAAGGAGAATGAGAAATATACGCGGGATTCGCGTATCGATCCTATCGGGAACGGACTCGATACCGTATCCGTATTAACGTGTAGATTTTTTCTGTCGAATCATTTTTACGTTCTTACCGTTCACGCTAGTTTCCTCGGGTGGCGGTATTACGTATTTACTCGTTTAATCCCGACCCCTTCGCGCCGTGCGATATTGCGTTACCGTATTTATCACGTAAGTGGTAAAACCACTAATCTTTTATGCACACATCGCGGTATTATATAAATTTACGAGAGCTTTATATTACTTGGTTCGTTACTCCGTACAGGTTGCTATAAATATCACACTGATAGAAAAATATAGTTAGTAATTATAGATAGAATTAGCTATAATCTCACTATATTTTATAGTTCATTTTGGCGTCAGCCATATTTTTATAGTTCGTGGAACCTGCAAAATATAGTAGAATAAACACAAATATACAAGTCAATGATTGTCTTAAATAACTGTTTAGTTACTTTTACCACATATATAGTGAGATTTAATATTCATATAGTTACATCTGTCATCATTTAGCAAATATTCTGGTAATATTGACTATATAAAAGAGTCACTTTACATTTTATATTTTATATTTGTATCCATACAATAATTTTAGTTTAACTTACTATAATTCTTAGTAAAAATATTATATGATTGGTTGTGTACTATGCCTATATCGTAATTATTGCCGATATTATGGTAATATTTACTATAAATATGATATTTCGGACTATAATTTAGTTACTTAATTTAGTTATCATTTTAGTTCAAAATATCATATACTTTTCTCTCAGTGCAGCCAGTTTCCTTTCGCTTTTCTTTATCGCTCGCGCTATTGATCGGATTGCGAATTATTCGCTTGCGGATAAAAATTTCTCCCTGCAATTAGCGACACGATAACGAACTTCTGAAAAAATTGCGCGTAAGAATAACAAATTCACGAATGTAGTCGACGGTCGTACATAATATCGCGGCTTAAGCTTTCAGATTAACTCGACTTTAAACGGTCTGCTCGCCAATCTCCTCTGTTGGAAAGCAAAGCTGGAGGAGGACGGAGGGTCGATTACATTTATATCGACTTTAATATCGTTGTCTGTGAAAGCAGTATATATAGCGATTCTTTTTGACCGCGAATATGCGTGACCGGCGAACGATCGTGATAAATAGTTGTACGCGCATTTACACACAGAGATCACGTTTGCGAAGCGTTTGTGGAAAATGTACGAGCATCTTGATAACGCGTTCGCGAGTTATATTAGTATCAGCCGATTTGTCGGCGAGCTGCATTATCATTCGTATCAGTCGTATATCTCCGGTGTATTTTAACGGGGATACTTCGATAATCTCTTTTCAATCTATGCGAGTGAGTTTTTGCCGAGTTTCCCCGACTGAGCGAGTAAGTGCGCAACACACACACACACACACACATATACACATAATCAAAACGATAGCCCATCGCGTTCGCAAGAAGGATCGACGAAAGATAAAGTTTATAATCGCGCGGATAATCGCCGCGGCGGTCGCGGAATTAGCCGATAAAATTCATTCGACGCGTTAACGCTGCATCCGCGCATCGCCGGTACTTTTGAGCGAGATGGATTTTGTCCCGAAATTAAATACCGCGTCCGACGTGCCGCGAAAAGTTGCCGTAGCGGAATTCCGGAACGCCCGCGCGCAGATCGAACGCAGCACAATCAGCGCGGTGTATACAGCTTTGTGTATGTAACCTATATGTTAATCGGCATCTCGATTGCATAACGGTCTTCGCGTCGAATTAATCCGCCGATAATGCCGCTGTAAATTCTAATTGTAAATGTGTGCATTTGTCTGACGGCGACGAAGGGGGAGAGGAGGAGGAGGCGTATTCAGCAAAAATTGAATTATACGTCGCGGGAGAAACATGAGAAATGCTCGATGCGCGCGCGAGCCTTGTCACTTCGCGCGTCGAGCGGCAAGAAAAATCGACTGCGTGCTTCTCGAATATTCTTTTCTACGGGAGATAATTAAAAGCGACGGATGTTTTCCTGAAATTGTTGCAACCACGGAGGGTGAATTTCGCGGTTCGCAGCCTCTTTTTGCGTAACTGTGTAATGCATATGAATGAAACCGAGAAACGAGGAAACGAGGAAACCTCGAAAGGAGAGAACGCGCGAGGAAGAAACTCGAAATTCAGCGGACAGGCTCTTGCAAGTTTCTCGCGCTTACTTTCTGTATACAGATTCCGCGAGTAATTGAAGGGGAAGTTGATCTTTGTCTAACAAAACTACCACTACCCGGGGCACCCCCCGGCGCCCTTTATATATATTTACATATAAGCGCTCGAAAATCCAGAAATTGTAATAAAACAGCTGCCGGGCGGCGCAAGTGGATTACGCAACTTTATTCTCTTCTTGTTTAATACCAAGCGGATTTCGCTGCTGCTGAACTTTAATTTGAAGGTCCGCGACGTGGATACGCAAGGCTGAATGGTAAACAGTTAAAATAGAGCTGCGGGAGTAGACGTAAAGGAAGAAAGCACAAGGTTCCACACGCGTATCCTATAATACCTCACGTAACGCGAATCAAACTTTCTCTCAAAAACTTTGCGACCTGCGCACGAAGGACCAACGTAATAAAAGTTGCCGCGACGAATGGGAAATAGGAAATGCTGCTTTCCGGATGTATCATGATATTATCGCGTATCCGTCCGACGACTCGGTAAAATAGATGACGAGCGCGCTCACGTCGCCGCCGTATTATGACAGATCGCGGTGTTTTCTCGCTTTGATGCATCTGCTAAATGAAAAATTCGTGCCCGCATGGTAAATCTTTTCTGGAGTACAAGCAGCGACTGTGTGTGCGTGTATATGACAGAGAGAGGAAGAGAGAGCCATTTCCAGCCCCATGTTCTCAGGAACATTCGTTACTTTATACTGAGTTCTCAAGAGCACCCCCAGTGCGTTACAAGCCGCGTCTGTTCTACGCGACTTTCCACTCGCGTTATCTGAATCGTCAATGTGAAAGCATCTTTATCTCGTTCCATCAAACATTATTCGCGGTCTTACACCAGCATTGAAAACCCGCATCTTGCTTCGCCTCAAACTGACGCCTCGCAACATTGTCAAATCGTGTCCAAGTTATTCGCCGCCTTCCATTGCGGGTTAACTTCCCGCTCGACCGGCCAACAAACGATCGGATCGATCGCGCAATAATCTAACTTTACTAATTAACGCCTGCATCGGGGAAAAGCGCGTCCGCGTCCGCGTCAGAAGCGCGGGATGCTTTCAGCTCTGCGACAGTTTTCGCCGTCAGGACTCCTGCAAAACGAGGATATCGACATTTACAATAGGCCGCGCTCTGGATCAGGTTCGATGCCGTCGATCGATAAAGCCAGCGTCACACGTAGAATACCGTAACGCGTGGGTGACCGGGAAAAGACCACATTCCCTGCGGCGTTTCGGAGAAATCAGTCTGGACGTGAAGCGCAAGCGAGGCCTTCCCCCACCCCAAGGTCGTTCGAGCCACGCGGTCTCGTGGTAAACAAACATGGCGGCTCCTAAGCACGTGGTCGCTTTATCTCGCTCTCGCGCGAGCGAGACGTTTCGAGCGTGCGGCGGAACTTTAAAAGGCCGTAACTTTCGAACGAGGCAACGTAGAAACATAAAACAAAAAGCAATCTTCTTGGGATGAAATCACGCGTACGTGCACGTTGCTTGAAAAATTGTGCGGGGAATTGTCGACACGATACGTGTCTTTTATCACTAAGAATCGTCGAGAATATGTCGATTATCTCATATCTTATCGTCGAGAGATCTCTCTCGCCGACGTTTCATCATATGCTAGCGAGTGAAATGCGGTTTCTATACGCATTTCGGGACGATTCACTCGATTTCCTGCTCCTCGATTTTGGATCTCTCTCTCTCTCTCTCTCTCTCTCTCTCCATTTTCGTCTCGTCGCATGGCTCACCGTGGCGAAGGTAAAAATCCGCAAAGGATGCTATTTTCAGCCGTTCGCCGTGCGCGCACGGCATTCTCGCGCGCCGTAAAACCCCAGGAACGGCATGGTAAATAGCGAATAAAGCGGCGGATAAAGCATCGTGACTGCAGCGAGTGAGGGAAGGAACTTATCGCGAGATACTTAATTTCGTCGGCTCGACCATAGCAAAGCGCGGCGCACACACGCGATAAATCAGGCGTAACGGTCGTAAGCAGCTTCCCGGAAAAATCTCGCTGCTGCGCCGAGGTGTATCGAGTTGACCTTTTTGCCGGCGAAGATATATTTTCCAATTTCCGAATGACGTCGTCCCTTCCGTGGGGGCGGGACGGGGGGAGAGCGCAAAATCTCGGGCGCGGCCGGATAATAGAGAGCGAGTTTCTATATATCCGGGCGAGTCGCTAAGAGCGCGCCATTTAAGCCGCGGGATCAAGCGCCGCCGATCCATCTTGGCTTCGCTTGCCGGCTGTAACAGTAAGTACTGAAATAAAAACCGAGAATCGAGTACCTTGTAAGTTATTTGAGGCGAGAGCCGCCGTTTATCCGCCGCTATGTGTGCGCGACCGAGCTCGGTTGAACCGCTTAAACCACCGAAGCGGCGTAAATACGCTACATCTTCACTTGTCAACGCCGAATCGGGGCCGAGGAGGAACGCTGAAAAAGAAAGTAAAAAACCATATGCACTTGAGGGGCAACAGACGAATCAATTATGAAAGGCATCATCATCGTCGGATAATTTCGCTACTCGTAGTGGCGTCCTTTAATTATCGCTTCTAAGAAAACGCCGCGTCTCGTCGAGTTTCTCTTAATATTTCACCGATTAACTGCTCTGGCTAGGCATTAACGTTAAGTGAGTAATCTCGCTGATAAGTAATCTCGGTACATTGTTGTCGCTGGGAGACGTCGCGTTACCACAATTCTCCACTGACAGTCGGGAGACACGAAAAGACTAGTCGGTGCAAAGTGCAAATTCGACACACGCGGTGTTTCTGAAGCGCTCCCGCACAGTAAGAACCGTCTTACTGCGAGAGAATTTTTGCCGAGCAGTCCTGATATCACGAGAATTAATTATGAAAACACAGTCGGAATTAATCTTCTGAAGCGGGAATGCGCGATGAAACGTGGCGGAAGAAGGATGAAAATTTAAGCGAACGCCTTATTAATAATGAGCCGAGCGTGGGGGTGACGTTATAGTATAAATTAATATCTGAAGTTGAAGCTGAATGTGTACGCTTAAAAGATCCGAATGCAGATGAAATTAAATTCGAGATTAACAATCCGAGCGAACGGGTCTCGCACGAAGTTTACGCTCGTTCAATTTAGCTAAATTAACGTCAAAATTGCGCGGGATTTCGGTTTTCTAAATCAAGCTTTTTGAGGCCGGGAGTGCCTCGGTCGAGAAATCGGGCGTGTACTTTGGTGTGTAAATTGGGATAACTCGTGCGTGAATTATGGCCTACGGGGCACTAATTGCAAGAACGCCGCGCGCGACACGGACAGGAGCGCAAATTTTATATTTACATTCAAAGTGCCTGTAATCCAAGCCACCGTCCGTAATTACGACAGACTCGAGCTGCGGCTGGTAAAGCGATTCACGCACGAGGGCCATGGATGATAGAGTCTATTACGACGTGAAATGATAACGATGACAAGAAGCGAAGTATCTCGTGATTAATTAGCGCCGCCGTCGTAAATGACACAAATCCCGATGGACGCGTCGGGAGGGGACGACCCCCGATGACACAATTTCAAATTTGATGAAAGCTGAATAGAGAACATACCCGTTGTAAAGGGATAGGAGAATAGAATAGAGGATAAGAGAGAGAGAGAGAGAGAGAGAGAGAGAGAGAGAGAGAGAGTGAATGAGTGAGGGGCGGGGGTGGACAGGCAGGGCAGAGGATCGGTGGTGAGATAAATGCGGTGCACGAACGCGGATACGAGGGAAAATACGAGAAGGCGAGCGGGGTTCCTTGTTTTATAAAGAGAGGGACGTGTTGCAAAGTACGGAAATATCCGCCGGGGATTTGAAGTTCAGTGGAGCATTAATTAAACTACCTCGCTAATTTCTGGAACTTATAAACCGACGGTTTATTAATTTGCCTCGCGTTTAAAAGGAATAAGCGCGCTATCGAAGTTCCCCGTGCCCGGATGACTTTCCGCGTTGTGTAATTGTACGTTAAGAGAAAGTATCGGGGAATGGAAATCTGCGAAATTTCACGTCGAGACGAGACGAAAGTTATTCAACGCGGCCTCGAGCGTGCTCGATCATTAAAATTTTCTCTCTCTCTCTCTCTCTCTCTCTCTCTCTTACACACGCACATACTCGCCCAGAGTATAGAAACCAAGCAACTCTCGCGAGGCTCTCCTTTTTCGGCAGGGGGGTTGTCTCGTCGGACTCGTCGAGTCGACGAGCGCTAAGTAAGTTGTTAATGCTTCGCGTCCGATCGCCTTCGTGTGTTACGCGCAGACGGGGAATCGTGTTACGTCGGGGCTAACGATAACTCGGGCGGAAGGTACGAGCGTCGTCTCGCTCGGCGTGTTTCGAAGATTGGGCGTATCGTATCTATCCTTAGGAATCTCATTAAAGTCATAATGACGCGAATTCATGGTAGTTCCTTTCACGTCGTTACACGGTCCCGCGCGTGCGCGCGCTCATTAACGTTAGACATTGACAAAGCATCGACAAGATGCTTCGCTGAGAATCATTCGACGGGGCTCATACGGCATACGGCGTAATTGCAATTCAAAGTGAAGTTCCAGCAGATCGAGGACGAGCGTCGTCCTCGCTGCGCTTGCAGTGTCGCGGTTTAACGTCTACACCTATCGCGCTGATATTTTTACTGTTTAAGTATCGGCTTAACTACTTGGCGTTAATTCTCGTCGACCTGTATTCTAAGTGTAAACATAGGCGCACGTCAGGCGAACGTAGAAGACAAAGGCATTACGAACCAACTTTACGATTTGGATGCTCGGCTGGACTTTATCCGGCGACGAATATCTTTTGCTTTTGTACCGACCAAATCAAACGATCAGCGGAGGGGGGACAGTGTGCTCGAGCAGGCGACAGTGTTGCTATTATTAACGCGAAAATGTATTTACCTTTTATGTCAAGCGGACTAGCTGTTCCGCGCGTTGCGTAAAATGTCGTCGATTGATTACACGTTCGATTTGAGCGTGTTGTTTCTTTTCTCGCGCCATCAGGAGAAAGAAAATTTCGTCAATCAGATCCTCCGGTTGATTGAGGCGATCGCGTTATCGCGTTGAAAAATCCCTGACGCGAAATTCTCATCCTTTCTCTCTCGTGTGATCCTCGTATGCCGATTACTTTCGGTTAATTAATCGCGCTGTAAAAAAGTGATTACGTGGACCGTGGTACCGTATGCGTTTGCGAGGTACGGTACGGTACGGTACGGTACGGTACGGTACGGTGCGGCACGATACGGCGCGGCGCGGCATGGCACGACCGCGACGAGCGGAATATCGATATTCGTAGATGTGCTATCAGAAGCGTAATACGTGCTCGCGTGTATATAGGACATCGTCTGATTGAGTATCAAGATACACAGCTTCCGGCAATTAGCGATGCCAGGGAATGTTCATCGAAAATTTAGATTAAGGTAAATACCGAACTTGGCAATATCCTCGAAACTTAGGCGTCACGATAATTTATTAACGGACCCTAACGGCGAGGCAAGGCCAGTAAATCCGCTGAATATGTGAATCGATGATTACCGAACTCGTACACAAACTATTGCTGCATTTCCAAGCCAAGGCAGCGCGCGCCGGTTTCCTCCGGTCGCATAAATACACCGCCATGCAGATCAAGTTTGTGCACTGCCGCGCGACCGCTGCGGTACGACGTAATCGAAATAAGGTAGAAACGTCCGATTCTAGTTACACAACACGCGTTCTCGAGCGTTTCAATTAGGGCGATGCTCTCAAAGAAGGGATGCCGCTCGCGTGATTCGACGAAAGTGACAAGAGAGCTTGCAATTCCTCTACCTACCGCGACCGCGCTGGTCTCGTCTTCGTCGTCTCGGCGACGTCGCTATTCGCGAGACACGCAACTCGAAGCGCGCGCTCCTTCGTGCGCCACAATATTCCGCAGCGATCTATCTCGATCGTATCGCTCGCGCAAACAGCGACGCGATTTCCACAAATCGCGCCCCGAACGCCAATCTCGCGAGCCCCATACTCGGTCGCGCCGAACAGCAAGAGCAAAAATTTCGGTCGGATTAATTAAAATGCATGCGAGAGGAGAGTCCGCGCGCGGCCGGGTATCTCCGCCCCGTGGATTTACATAAACAAAATATGTAACGAGTTCATACGTATCCGCGCCGTTCCGCGCTCCGTCGAAGCCCGGGCAAAAGGCAAAAAGAGGAAAGCGGAAAAAAAAAAAGGAAGAAAAACAGACTGACGCATTAATTCCACCGCGCGGCGACACAAAGTTGCAGCCGGTCGTTACGATGCAACCGGCCGGACGCTGTGGTCAAACAGTGCCCGACACAGTAGCTCACGTCACCGCGTGCTGTCACCTCCGATTCATCCCCCGCTCTTCTTTCGCGTCGATCCCGACACGGACGCGAGGGTGGGGGCGGAGGCCGCCCCCGGCGCGGCGAGCGCGTACGAGACCGCACACGAGGGTAATTTTGCGTAACTCATCGCGGTCGCCGCGCGCGCTTGTCACCCCGCGGCCGCCGCGCCGGAAGATTTCTGGCACGCGATGCTCCACACATGGCGCACATTGTTGCGATTCGCTCGCGAATTTCGCCGCGACGTGTGGAAGCGCTACAAGACGCGCTTTGGCCGACATCGATCGATCGGCGAGAAAGCGTAGCGCTGGGATTTTTTGCGATCGTCACTCGTCCACTCGTCGAGCAACTTTGCGCGCTTCTCGATCTTTTTCTCCGCTGCCGAATTCGGGCTGCCGCGCGGGTTATTTCATTCGTTGTGCGAAGGCCGACGAATCTGACGTGGGTATATTCATTGTTAATATAACTCGTGTTTCCGACCGATTGACCGCGTAGCCTCTCACGCGGCTGTTCGGCGCGGTTATTCTTGAAATCTAAATCCGCTGTCTTCGACGAAAGTCGGTGGCAGCTCTAACGCTTAGAACGCACTCCACTGCGTGGAGAATCAAGCTTGACGATGCGTACGCACTTTCCGGCAGAGCGCGAGAGAGTGAGCAAAAACGAGCGGAAAATTGACGCGTGATGCGAGAACGATGGACATTTCTTTTCCGCGAAGTCAAGTAGAATATTCGACGCGCTGAGAGAAAAGTATATGATATTTGGAACTATAATGATACAGTAACTAAATTATAGTCCGAAGTATCATATTTATAGTAAGTATTATCATAATATCGGCAATAATTACGATATAGGCATAGTGCATAACCAACCATATAATATTTTTACTAAGAATTATCGTAAGTTAAACTAAAATTATTGTATGGACACAAATATAAAATATAAAATGTAAAGTAACTCTTTTATATAGTCAATATTACCAGAATATTTGCTAAATGATGACAGATGTAACTACTATATGAATATTAAATCTCACTATATATATGGTAAAAGTAACTAAACAATTATTTAAGACAATCATTGACTGTATATTTGTGTTTATTCTACTATATTTTGCAGGTTCCA